TTTCCTTTTTATTTCAATCACTCATTTTAAAAAAAAAAAAAAACATTATTTCATTCATTTCCTTTTCCACAAAATGGGGACCAAACGGGGGCTATTGATTAGTTTTATGTCTAACTGTTGGGTTTTTGATTCTCAATAATCCCGGGCGATGATTTTAAACAGTGTCGGATAGTCGGATTGGATTTCATAGGCTTCAGCCGATAATTGAAATATTTATTAACACACTCGATTAATTGGTTCAACCCGAAAAACAATTTGAGGGTCATTTGAAGCAATTTAATATAGTTAATGTTGCTCACGGCCCTTTTACTTCTTGAATTACTCAATTTGTGTTCCCCCCCCCCCCCCCCCCTTTAACCATTAGTTGGTCCATGAGCTCATTATATTATTACACCCTAAACCTATATATTGCTCTCATTTGTGAAGGAGCCGTGTGTGTGTAATTGAAAATAGGCGGCCTACATTTTTCTCTAGTTTTCTCTTTTGAGCCTTAAACTGAATGTCTTCCTCTATTCTTTGTGATTCATTGCAGCCACCATATTGTGTTCTTTGTGAACACATTGAGTTGAGCAACCGAAGTAAAAATCGTTGTTTGGGTTGGAGCCTTTGTTGGATGTGTTTAACAAGATAGAGATTGGTTAAACTGAGCCCGAAAAATTCACCATTTGAGGTCGATTATTCAACACTAACTCATGCAGAATTTTCCCTTTATCTCCTTGCAAAATGTTGGTTTATTTAAGAACATCGATGATAACTCGAGAGAATTTAGACTAATTAAATGAATTGTTTGAGTGTTATGGGTTTTAAAACTATACGAAAACATGAGACTTCGTATTAAAATGTCAACATTTTGAAGAATGAATAATTCAGGCCTTATATATTAATTAGTATTTTATATATAATTGATATGAAATTTACACTTAAATTGTCATTTTTCTAATATTTTTTGGATTAAATGCCTAATCTCGTATTACCATGAGAAATAATAACACAACATTGAAAAACAGAAAAAAAAAATGTGAAATATATAAACTTTGTCCTTGTTTGGCCCCTAATTTCTAAAACTTACTTTTATCTAAACTTATTTTCAATCGTACATTCTCTCATTAAAATAATTTATACGTGGACCAATAATTTTTCTTTATTGTTTGGTAGCACATTCTCTAAAATAATAATAATAATAATTTTCACAAATTATATTATCTAAAAATCTCTACCAAATAGGGAAGAGTAATTCATTCTCAATTTGAGGGTTATGTCTATTTATTTGTGCAGAATTTCGATATATCGCATGTGTCAATTACAAATTGACTTTGAACTCATGTATCTATTTTTTCTCTCTACTTCCAAAAAAAAAAAAAAAAAAGGAGTGCTTCGCCCTAGATTTTGAGCCATTAGATGCAGTGCCATCCCAATACTTAAAATTATATCATAAACATGTGTTCAAAGTAACATTATGCTTTCATATGAGCCTCTTTTTTTAGAATAGATTTTGTAAAAAGTGATCATTTTTTAGAATGTGTGCTTAAAGTTTAGGAAAAATTTTGAATTTACCTGTAAAATTATTTTATTGAAAAAATATGTAATCGAAAATACATTTGAAAAAAAAAAAGAATTAAAAGAATGAGATCAAACAAACTAATCATTGAGTGCACATAAAATGTAAAGAATACGTGAATTAGTTTGCATGCATTTAGAGAAGTTAGATTTAGAATTTTAATTCAAAACTTAGTTTCCAAGTTTTCTGAAAAGCAAAAGTTTAATTGTTTTTGGCTTTTATCAAAGCTAGTCACATAGTATGGTGTAGTGCTCAAATATTACTTATTTTGCTCGCTACTTTTTCAAGAATCGATGCGCACTTCTTCAACAAACCCCACCATGCAATGCACCATACTTAATCATCCAAAAAGCAAAAACTAAAAATAAGTGATGAGACCTTTTCTTTTCCTTTTCTTTTCTTCTTTTAGAAGGTGGGGCGTTTAAAGAGGTTGATTATTGAATTAGTGAAGTCTAATATACTTTTTTGTTTTTAATAAAGGATGAGTGTTAGGTATGCAACGTTTGCCCCTCGTTTTCAAGGTTATAACTAATTATTGCCGAAAGATTGAAAGGAAACAATGAAAGTTAGAACAATAAAGTTATTTGTACAAAATTGGATTATAAAAGTTGAGTTACAAAGTGTGTTGGCAAAATTCAGACCATTGATTTCAAATGATTTAAAAATTTGTTTTTGAAATGATTGGCATGGATGTGATTTTGTCATCCAACTTTGTCAAACCCCACTCAAGTTAGAATATTAGAGATGAAAATATTGAACATCAGTGAAAAGTGGTCATGTGTAATTGAAAAATATCAAAAAAGGCTGAATTCGAAATAATTAGTCAAAGATGGTTACTAGAAAATAACCCATTTTTTATCCTTTAATTCGCATTATGCTTTGCCTTTTTCAATTTAGTTTAGGGCTATGTTCTTTACTCATTCATTAGGTTTGGGTATCATTTCGAAGAATTAATGGCGAACTTCGTATTGCATCTTTTTGGATTTAATAATTATTAAGTGATGAGTTCAAAATAAAAAGATTAATATTACTTCTAGTTAATCATGTTTAACAATCCAATTTTGTTTCATTTTTAGATGTTGATTTAATTTAAATTCTATTTTAAAGTTGACTTGACATGTCCCGTGATCATATGATTAAATTTAAAGCTCCTGTTCAACAACCATTAATTCTGGAAAACAATGTTTTGAATAGCATTTTTTAGGAGAATGTGAAATTAAAAAAAAAAGGAAAAATTTTAAGTTTACGTGCAGAATATTTTATTGTGTGAATATATGGTTGAAAATAAGTATACGAAAAATAGAGTTAAAAATGACGGTTGTCAAATATGAGCAATATAAGAGTACGTTAAGCCCTAAGTAATCATATCCAATGGTATGTTATGGGCCTATTCGGTAGTGTTGGGTTTCACCTGTTAATGAAGAAATAAAAAATGACAGTTGACTTAGGAAATTAACGATCAAAAAATTGATTTTTTGAGTGAAAAATTAGAACCAAATGGGAGCTTTATTTGGTGTAAAACACCAAATGCCCAGTTTGATTTCATTTATTTTACTTTAATTTATTTTTCATCTCATTTTTAAACACATATTGATATACGTTAAGCCCTAAGTAATCATATCCAATGGTATGTTATGGGCCTATTCGGTAGTGTTGGGTTTCACCTGTTAATGAAGAAATAAAAAATGACAGTTGACTTAGGAAATTAACGATCAAAAAATTGATTTTTTGAGTGAAAAATTAGAACCAAATGGGAGCTTTATTTGGTGTAAAACACCAAATGCCCAGTTTGATTTCATTTATTTTACTTTAATTTATTTTTCATCTCATTTTTAAACACATATTGATATAAAATATTTATTTTTCTAATCAATTAATAAGTAATAATTATTTCAAAAATATATTAAAATTTTAATGTGTTATTAATTTATTAATAAATGTAATATTTTACTTCATTAAATATAATTAACGACTTCTGTAATAATATAATATAAAATAATTTAAAATAAAATTAGTATAAAATTTAGTGAAAACGGTCTTCAAATTGAGTTATGAAGAGATTGAGGAAAGTAACATAAGGTGATTTAAAGTATTAAATAAATTTAAAAATTTTGCAAGAGAAATAATTATTCTTGCAAATTTCATGACTAATTTACAGATGATAACTTTCTAAAGTATAAGCTAAAATCTGCTTTTTCTTAAATTAATTTGTTAGTCTAAAAAGTAATTCTGAAAATTATTAGCAAAGCTTAAAAAAGATAAACTTATTTGCCAAAGACTATAATGTGTAACTTATAAGCTAAACATTAGTTTTAAAAATTATTTTTTTAATAATGATAGGTGAAACTAAATAATATACTTATTTCGCTACTATGTTCGAACGAAGCTTTCTTCTTGTCCGAGAGTTGGTCTGAGAGTTGGAAGTGGAGAAGAAGAAATCTCATGAAAAACTATTAACTTTTATTGAGTCGGATTTTTTTATTCAAATCTTTCTATTAGCAATCGAAAAAGTTGGTGACCTAATAATAAGAAAGCTAACAATCAAATCTATGATAAGTGACGGCATGGACTATAGGTGAGTTTTCTCTGAAAATATGTTTACTTTTAAAGTAACCTAAAAAGCTATGTTTTTCAGAAGTGCGTCGAGTAACTCTTTTACTTAGCCCCTATTTGATGTCCTTAAAATTTCAAAAATATTGTTTCGAATAGTGGTTTTTGGAGAATGTAGGGTTAAAAATAGGAAAAATTTTGAGTTTACGTGTAAATTATTTTATTGTGTAAATATATGGTTAAAAATGAGTATAAAAAACAACTTAAATTAAAGTAAATGATATCAAACAAGGACTTAAAAAATAAGAAAATTAAATTAAATTATTAAGTGTTTGTTACCCAGGATATGTTAATAAAAATTAGTTAATAAATTGTTGATTAATAAAAGGCGGGGATAAAAAATATGTTTGATTAGTTTAGATTATAATTTAAAGTTTGCAAATATGCACTAAAACTTACTCATCATTCTCAAAAGTTTGCAAATATGCACTAACCCTTGTTTGAGCCTCATTTTAAAGGAAGAAATGCATTTTGAATAGTAGATTGATAAGTGATTTGAGGTTAAAAATTAAGAAAAAATTTTGAATTTGTGTGTAATGTTATTTTATTGAAAAATAATATATTGTTGAAAATGAATTTTAATTTTTTTATTTTTTTTTTTATTTTTAATATGGAGCTCAAACAAGGCTAAAATAACTTCACATTTTTTACCAGAACATAGTTCCCCAAAACAGGCTCGCACAGGCATCTGGTCAGTCGGATGTGCTCACGCGGTTTAATCACTCTTTCCTCTACGCGTTCTCTCTCTCTACATGTCACTGTATCTATCATTTCTACCAAATTTAAAATCCCACTATAAAAAGAAGTCGTTTCTCAAACCAAAAGCAAGACACGATGGAATATAAGAGCTAGCAGTATAAACCAGCATCCACCAGCTGGATTGCAAACCCAAAAAGGACCATTTTTTTTCTGTTTCTCTCTCTACAGACATACGTTATCCATACAACTCAAAGTAACAGTCACCACATTATATTCACACACTATTAATATGGATTCTTGAATAGAATTCAATTCCAGTGGCTTCACCTAGCTTCTTTCCAAGGAACCTCATATTACTCTGCAAACTTAGCTACTAGAAAAAACAATATATCTTATATACATTTTCAACCCACTTCCGTTTGGGTTTTTCTTAACTATTTTAATCCTTTCTTTCCTAGTTTTTTATTTTTATTTTATTGGGTGTTTCTTTCTAAAAGTGCTTTTCCCAATGTGGGGATTTGGGATCACTCTTGGGGTTCCAAGACTCGATTTTTAGCACAGATTTGACATTTTTTCCGTCATTTTATAATTTCAAGCTGAATCTTGAGGTGGGTTTTGTGTATTTTGAAGCGTTCCATCATTTTTTTTTTTTTTTTTAGCAAAAAAGCGGGATATTCCACTTGTTTACCTCAGATAAGCGTAAGAATCTTGAGGTTTCCTTTTTTCACAAAAGCTGCTTTTTTAAGCTATTCCAGTTGTTTTTATGCATTGCAAAGTTGAATCTGAGGTGGGTTTTTTTGATTTAAAGATTTGATTTTTTTATTTTCGCCCCCTCAAAAAAGTTGGTTTTTGATATCTTGTGAGTGGTAATGGAAACCAGAGGGAGGCTTATTGCTGGCTCTCACAATAGAAATGAGTTCATTCTCATCAATGCCGATGAAATTGGAAGGGTAAGTCTCTTTAATAATTTCAGTTTTATAGACGTCAATTTCCCCTTTTATACTTTTAAGAAGCTTTTTTTTCCCCTCATTTTTTTCTGGGATTAATAGTCATTCAATTATATTAGGAGATTCCTATAATAGTAGCAAACTGTCTAGTTTTCTTATTTTGGGCATTTGATTGAATGCATGGCTTGAGCTTTGTAAAAGGAAGAATGTTTCTATGCTTTGTATTTGATGTTCGGTGATTCGTGCATGTGATATTGATCTAACTTTCCAAAAATCTTGGATTTCATTTTGGCTGCAACCCCAGCTCTAAAAATTTTCTGATATTTTTCACATGTTTTATATATTTTGCAATACTTGTGGGAATTTAGACTCCGTTTGGTAGGGATTTTTTGGTTGGTTTTTGATATCTTGTGAGTGGTAATGGAAACCAGAGGGAGGCTTATTGCTGGCTCTCACAATAGAAATGAGTTCATTCTCATCAATGCCGATGAAATTGGAAGGGTAAGTCTCTTTAATAATTTCAGTTTTATAGACGTCAATTTCCCCTTTTATACTTTTAAGAAGCTTTTTTTTCCCCTCATTTTTTTCTGGGATTAATAGTCATTCAATTATATTAGGAGATTCCTATAATAGTAGCAAACTGTCTAGTTTTCTTATTTTGGGCATTTGATTGAATGCTTGACCTGTTTGGACAATACTATTGTACTGGACAAGATTGGTCAATAGAATAGACAAGAAAATAAATTTTTAACTTATTTTTGTATTTACTATTGTCTAACTATTGCGTAGTCCACCTAACCAAACACACAATTGGTGTCTAGGAGTTAGGTCTTAACAAAATATCGAATGAAAAATGGGAATAAATTGCAATGTTAAATTGGAGGTACATAGGTTTGCTGTCAATTCAGTGCGGATGTTACTCTCTCTTCTGGGGTTCTCATTTGATAAGATGGATAACAAATTTCATTTGACATTTATTCCCACGAGGACCGTGTTATTAAGTACCAAAATTAACAATCATAACGTTATTTTAACAACCAATTTGAAAATAGAGAATTTTTCTAGTTAAATTAATGACTGAAGTATGCTAAATTAAATAATCTACGTTGTGCGTTGGACATTTTGATTTTTAACTTTAATTCGATGAATAAAAGTGTTAGAGCTTTCGATTTCACTTTATTTATCCCTTAAATTTCGCTTCTCAATTTCAATTCCAAAGTTTGTATTCATTGAATTTACTAATTTATTCCCTGTTTGATCCCCATTTGAAAAAAATGCATTCCTAAACAGTGTTTTGGCATCATTTCAACCACACATTTTTCAATAAAATAATATTACACTCAAATAAAAAAAAAATCCTTATTTTTTACTCATACATTGCAAATATCGAATGAAAAATGGGAATAAATTGCAATGTTAAATTGGAGGTACATAGGTTTGCTGTCAATTCAGTGCGGATGTTACTTTCTCTTCTGGGGTTCTCATTTGATAAGATGGATAACAAATTTCATTTGACATTTATTCCCACGAGGACCGTGTTATTAAGTACCAAAATTAACAATCATAACTTTATTTTAACAACCAATTTGAAAATAGAGATTTTTTCTAGTTAAATTAATGACTGAAGTATGCTAAATTAAATAATCTACGTTGTGCGTTGGACATTTTGATTTTTAACTTTAATTCGATGAATAAAAGTGTTAGAGCTTTCGATTTCACTTTATTTATCCCTTAAATTTCGCTTCTCAATTTCAATTCCAAAGTTTGTATTCATTGAATTTACTAATTTATTCCTTGTTTGATCCCCATTTGAAAAAAATGCATTCCTAAACAGTGTTTTGGCATCATTTCAACCACACATTTTTCAATAAAATAATATTACACTCAAATAAAAAAAAAAAATCCTTATTTTTTACTCATACATTGTCCATCAATACACTAGTCAAAAATTCATTCTTATCAAACGAATATGGATCAAACAAGGACTTAATAAATTTACCTTTTTCGAGTTTAAATCAATAAAATCTAGCTAATTAACTCACTATATCTCCATGTGAATCTGAATAAGCCTTACTTATACACATTAAATCACCTAGGAATTCAATTAAAGACTGCAGCACTAGTAAAAGTGTAATTCTATCTTATACCAAATTGTTGGATTTTACTACGTGGTCTAAATTAATAACTCACATCTCCGTATGTTAAATCCATAAATTAGAAGTATTGGCCAAATATTCGCATGCACTAGTAGAAATGCAAGTGCAGTACTTTAATAAATGAAAAACGCAAAACTTGAGACTTGAAATTAAAGGTTAAAAATTATGTTGCACTGTTTTTCCCTACAAAAAGTTTAGCTACTCACCACAGAAGAAGAAAACAGATTAAAGAAGTAAATAAATTATCTGGTTTTAAAGGAAATAAGACAGTGATGAATAGATTTGCACCCAAGAATTTGCCTTCTTGAAGAAATCTCTAGATCATTTCTCAATTCTATGTCTTTCTCCTTCAAACGTGCTCTATGATAATACGATGTGGTATGAAAAATTCCATTTTCTTGACCTAATTTTGTCCTTTATATCGCCCTTAATTGCCTAAAAATTCTTGCCAAGAAGAATACTGAAAGTGCACCTATTTACTAGTCCAAAAAATAAAATAAAATTCCTGAATTGGGGTTTTGAGGGTGGTTTAGGCAAGGGAAAGAGGCCTTAGTGGCCAACCGTTTAGCTTTGGCTGCCATACTTCAAACGGGCATAATGTTTTATCTACAACTACAAATTTGTTATCCATTTTTGTTGAATTCCAAATTTGATTATTTTCGAATGGTATATAGTTTGTCTTGTGGAGATCTGTTTACCAAAAATTGTGCACTAATCTCTTTGCATGCTCTGCATGTAGGTTCCTTGTTCTGCATCTTGTGGACCTTTTATGCTCCGAATAACTTTCTTTTGCACCAGTCATCTTCAAATTTGAGTTTCAATTATAAACACAATATTTACACTAATATGAGTGGAAATCTGTGCAAACATTCAATATTAAGCATATTCAAGAGCCTAGATAGGCGTGAAAAATATACTCATCAATGCTTTTTTTATGAATTGTGGTTTAATAGTTTGAGGCTAACAGATATGCACCCTGTGTTCGTGATTCTCTAGATTAAGTCTGTTCAAGAACTGAGTGGACAAATATGCCACATTTGTGGGGATGAAGTGGAGATAACTGTAGACGGGGAGCCCTTTGTTGCGTGCAACGAATGTGCTTTCCCAGTTTGCAGGACTTGCTATGAGTATGAGAGACGAGAGGGAAATCAGGCTTGTCCTCAGTGCAAAACCCGATACAAACGTATCAAAGGCAAGTCTTTTTATATCATGTTTCATTCTAATTGTTGGTGTAAGCTAACCGCACGAGGTGAACAAACAGCTGATAGATGTATGTGAACTGCAGGTAGTCCTAGAGTGGAGGGCGATGATGAAGAGGACGACATTGATGATTTGGAACATGAGTTTGATTATGAGGATATTGAGGCTTTGGGCCACACACAGAGTACAGGGGTGATTCCTGCTGTACGTGGTTGTCATATTGATTCATCTGAATCAGCTGCAGGCTCAAGACATGATTCATCTTCCAAGGGTCTTGAAATCCCTCTGTTAACATATGGTGAAGAGGTAATCAAGGGGTTCTCTCTCCCCTTCCACTTTAGATAAACTCATTATGCAACTTGGCATTTAAGTTCTTTGTCTTCTAATTACTCTCAGGACAATCAGATTTCTTCTGATCAACATGCTATCATAGTACCACCATTTGCCAGTCATGGCGATGAGATTCATCCATCTTCTTCTGGGACTTCAGCTCCTTGTAAGTCATTTTGCTCCTTTTAGCTTTCCTCACCCTAGAATAATTTTAAGTTTGCATGCAAGGGAGATGAAAAGTATACTTTTGATGTCCTAGTACAATCAAGGCCTTTGGTTCCCGACAAGGACATTGCTCTATATGGGTATGGAAGTGTTGCATGGAAGGATCGAATGGAGGAGTGGAAAAAGAGGCAAAGTGATAAACTTCAGGTGGTCAAGCATCAAGGAGATAATGCTGGTGACAACCTGGATGGGAATGAATTGGACTCAGACTTGCCTATGTAAGTGATTCGTGCATTCTCTGTGCAAGTGCTTTATTTTTGTTTACAATTTGAGGCATGATGTGCTTTGTTGCTCTCATTTCTGTTGTGTTTTCATATGATTAATGAAATCCCACTCTAAAATTCTTAATTTCGAGACTGGAAATCAAGATCTGCAAGATGGATTATTTTGTTGCATTATCGTTTATGGTATCTTGAAACAAATTGTATGCCATTCTTGATTTTGCTATCTTTAGTTTTTTACCACTTAGAATTCATTTATTCACTTGAAATCTCTTAACAGGATGGATGAAGGTAGACAGCCTCTGTCGAGGAAATTGCCCATTGCTTCGAGCAAGATAAGCCCATACAGATTGATAATTATCCTCCGCCTAGTGGTTCTTGGCTTCTTTTTCCACTATAGGGTTCTCCATCCAGTTCATGACGCATTTGGCTTGTGGCTGACATCAGTTATTTGTGAAATATGGTTTGCTGTTTCGTGGATACTTGATCAGTTTCCAAAATGGTTTCCAATTGAGCGAGAAACATACCTTGATCGCCTGTCGCTTAGGTATATAAACATTATAAACTCAAAACTCAATTTTTCTAATTTCTCGAAGTTGAGAATGGTGATAAGCATTATAAACTCAAAACTCAATTTTTCTAATTTCTCGAAGTTGAGAATGGTGATAAGCATTATAAACTCAAAACTCAATTTTTCTAATTTCTCGAAGTTGAGAATGGTGATAAGCATTATAAACTCAAAACTCAATTTTTCTAATTTCTCAAAGTTGAGAATGGTGATGAGCATGTTTGGCTAAGCTTAGAAGCAAGTCAAGCGAACTTGTAGTAGATTTTTGTTTTGGACTATGTTTTGATTAGTTTCTTCTTTCTTACTTGAGTAAAAATTAACTGTAACATAAGGCACTAATTTCAGAACTGGTAACTTGCTTATTTCTAATTTTAACTGAAGTCTAAATGTAACTGTTTACTTATAAATGTTTTAAGCCTAGCAAAACATGTTCTATATGAACTCAAACCAGCAGAACTAGGAGCTAAGCTTAAATAGTTTACTTAATATAAGTAAATAGTCATAAACTAATTTTTATTGGTAAAGAAAATAAGTTGCCTCTCCTTGAAGGAAGGTAAGAGTTTTTTTCAAATTAATAAATAATAACCTTTTCTACTTAAAAAGTATAGAAAAATTAATTTACCTAAACATTTTTTTGAACAAAAAATTACTTAGAAGTAACTTCGAATCGTTCTTAAGCTTAGTCAAACACCTTCAAGGATGTGAAAGATGATTAATTTGTCTTGATTCTTTGATGACAACATTGCTTTTCCATTTTAGGTATGAGAAAGAAGGAAGGCCATCTGAGTTAGCTGACATAGACATCTTTGTCAGCACAGTTGATCCCATGAAAGAACCTCCATTGATTACTGCAAACACGGTTCTTTCCATCCTTGCAGTGGATTATCCGGTTGAAAAAGTTGCATGCTATGTGTCGGATGATGGTGCAGCCATGCTTTCTTTTGAAGCACTTTCGGAGACATCTGAATTTGCTCGGAAATGGGTTCCCTTCTGCAAGAAGTTCAATATCGAACCAAGGGCGCCAGAATGGTATTTTTCTGAGAAGATGGACTATCTGAAAAACAAAGTCCATCCAGCATTTGTGAGGGAAAGGCGTGCAATGAAGGTCTGCCACTTGTATATTTTTCCTGTTTTCTTGAATAAAATACACACGCACACAATGAAAGAAAAATACATACATTATATATAGCTTTCTGTGAGTGTGAGAGAAAGATTATGAGCACATTTGGCTAAGCGTAAGTTACTTTAAGTAAATAAGTAAGTTTTAAAATAAATAACTATTTAGTGGTCAAAGTTGGAAATAAGCAGTTTATTCTGTCAGTAAGATTAGAATTTCTTTCAAATTAAGGAATGTTGTTTCGCTTGAATGTACGAAGAAGTAAGTTACCAAACATGTTTGGAAACAAAAAGTTACATTTCGCAAACTGCCAAATCTGTTTTATATGAACTTATACTCCCTAATCAACTTCAACCCAACTTTTCATGGTGTCATTTGTTTGCTCCAACACAGAGAGAATATGAAGAGTTCAAAGTTAGGATCAATCGTTTGGTGGCAACGGCACAAAAGGTTCCTGAGGAAGGTTGGACGATGCAGGATGGAAAACCTTGGCCGGGAAACAATGTTCGTGACCATCCTGGAATGATCCAGGTGAGAAATGCCATTTTCATGAATAATGGCCTCTGCCATTTTTGGACTCATATTTTTCCAATATCCAATTTTAGTGCATGTATAAAGACTATCCATATCAGGAGTTAAGTAGGATTTTTTTGAATGTTTTAATATTCTGACTCTAGACAATTCCAGATGTATCCTACAAGTGCATGCTTGATCACATTATTGGATAGGTTTGGACTAGATTAAGCTTATTTTTCTTCATTAATTCTGTCTAGTACTATCCTATCTTCCCCATCTACTGTGCCTCAAGAGAGAGAAAAATAAATATATACAATATATTAAAATAACAAAGTTGTTCATAATACTGTCTATGATGTTAGGCTTGAAAACGAACGAGAATATTATTGTAGAGTAAAAAAATTTCAAAGGACTCGATAAATGTAGGGTCTAGTTAAGGATTTGGATCAATATTTTTCTTTTAGATCATAGGATTGTAGGTTTGTAAAGTTCACACCGGAGTTTGACTACCACGATATGTATTACAAAAATCCAATAACTTGGCTATTTCTGTTTTCTTTCTTTTTTTTCATCTTAAATATTTTTCCATGATGGGGGGAAAGAAGAATGTATGATTTCATGAGTTAGTGAATACAGTGACTTGTTATGTCCAATAGCAAGTATGCACGACAGCTGTGGTATAGATAATTTTGGTTTCATTTTTAATTTGTTTATTTTATGGTTGTAAATGTTTAAATTTTTGTACATGGTGCAGTTATTCCTTGGTCATGATGGTGTTCATGATGTTGAAGGAAATGAATTGCCTTGTCTGGTTTATGTTTCCCGTGAAAAAAGACCTGGTTTTGATCACCACAAAAAGGCTGGAGCCATGAATGCACTGGTAAAACACACACACACACACACGTTAAATACATTGGTACATCCAAGAAAAAAAAATCAATTAAATCCTAGGTTTCTTTGCTTTGAACTTATAGGTGCGGGTTTCAGCCGTTCTATCAAATGCTCCTTTCCTTCTGAATGTTGACTGTGATCATTACATAAACAACAGCAAGGCACTGAGGGAAGCTATGTGTTTTATGATGGATCCCACTTCAGGAAAGAAAGTTTGCTACGTGCAATTTCCTCAAAGATTCGACGGGATTGATCGTCATGATAGATACTCAAATCGAAATGTTGTGTTCTTTGATGTATGTATATTTCTCTTGTTGCATTGGCTAGATTTGCTTTTCTAACTGTCATGCAGAAGCTTACTTTAGTTATTTTTAACAGATCAATATGAAGGGTTTGGATGGTTTACAAGGACCAATCTATGTTGGAACAGGGTGCATCTTCAGACGGCAAGCTCTTTATGGATATGATGCTCCTGTCAAGAAGAAGCCACCTAGCAAGACCTGTAACTGCTGGCCAAAGTGGTGCTGTTCGTGTTGTGGGTCTAGAAAGAACAAGAAAGGAAAAATGAAGAAAGATAAGAAGAAAAAATTAAAGCACAGAGAAGCGTCAAAGCAGATATATGCACTTGAAACCATTGAAGAAGGAATTGAAGGTAAAAATTTACTTTTAGTAAAACTAAATAAATAAGTAATAATAAATGAAAAGAAAACAATGGCCTGTTAGATCGACAGAACTAAAGTTTATAACCTTTCCCTTACAGTGAAGAACTCTGAAAACCCATCTCGCGTCTCCCAAGAAAAACTCGAGAAGAGGTTCGGCCAATCACCTGCATTCGTGGCATCAACTCTACAAGAAAATGTTCCCAAGGATGCTTGCTCCACAACTTTTCTGAAAGAGGCCATTCATGTCATCAGCTGTGGTTATGAAGATAAGAGTGAATGGGGAAAGGAGGTAAGTTGTTTGGCACATGTTTGGTACACAACGCTGAAGATGTAGAGAATTGGATATTATTATAGACAGGATTTTATCTTATTTTTCTTCCTTATTATTGTCCAAAGCTATCCAATTTTCTGAATCTTACCAAGCAAGCCACGATTGTTTAAATTCTCAGTACCATAATATATCTGTTACCTTGTGACCTGAATATCAAATGCTGGATCAGGTTGGATGGATATATGGGTCTGTTACGGAAGATATCTTGACGGGATTCAAGATGCATTGTCATGGCTGGCGGTCAGTGTACTGCATCCCTAAAAGGCCAGCATTCAAGGGTTCGGCTCCCATCAACCTCTCGGATCGTCTTCACCAGGTTCTTAGATGGGCTCTTGGATCAGTAGAGATATTTTTTAGCAAACACTGTCCCATCTGGTATGGATATGGAGGTGGATTGAAGTCATTGGAAAGGTTTTCCTATATAAATTCAGTTGTATATCCCTGGACTTCTATTCCTTTGATTGTATACTGCACATTGCCAGCCATCTGCCTTCTTACAGGGAAATTTATTGTCCCCGAGGTACGCATTTCATACTTGTACTATTATAGGAAATACTTTGCAGATACTCACATTGAGCTTAGCCACGTTTTGTAAAATTATATATTTACTTACATGATTAACTAACATATAATCCAATATGCAGATTAGTAATTATGCCAGTATTATATTCATTGCCCTATTCATCTCCATTGCTGCAACTGGCATCCTTGAGATGCAGTGGGGTGGTGTTGGAATTGACGACTGGTGGAGAAACGAGCAGTTTTGGGTTATTGGAGGAGTTTCCTCTCACTTTTTTGCTCTCGTCCAAGGATTACTCAAGGTTTTGGCTGGTGTCAACACAAATTTCACCGTCACCTCAAAAGGAGGAGACGATGGAGAATTTTCCGAGCTCTATATCTTCAAATGGACATCGTTGTTAGTTCTGCCTACAACATTATTGATCATAAATATAGTCGGGGTTGTGGTGGGAGTTGCAGATGCCATCAATAACGGTTATGATTCTTGGGGTCCATTGTTCGGTAAACTTTTGTTTGCCTTGTGGGTTATTCTTCACCTCTATCCTTTCCTCAAGGGACTGATCGGGAAACAAGAGAAAATTCCGACAGTAATTATAATCTGGTCGATTCTGCTGGCTTCAATATTGACTTTGTTGTGGGTACGAATCAACCCATTCGTTTCACGAGATGGACCCGTACTGGAAATCTGTGGACTTAACTGCGATGACTGAGATACAGTCAGGCAGCTTACACTTACGTGGGCTAACTGCGATTTCTAGGGACATATAAGAGGTTAGATGAATAGTATACTCGAGAAATGTGTAGATATAAATAGGTGAGAACTGACTCATATTTTTTGAAATGGTTTGATCATTCTTTCGTTAAATACGTTGTTTTGATATTTTGGCGTCTGTCGAAAACTACCCTACTGTTCAGTATTCTTCTTCTTGTGGATTTGAATTTACCAGTTTCACCTATTACTTCTGAGCTTCTGTTGAGTGTGTCATCTAGTGCACTCGCAAGATTTTGTCAATGAAAAGAGACTGATTTAGCTAAGATCGAAATGGTTGGTATTAATTCGAGTATTGCACAATAACTTGACAGAGCCAAGTCTGTAAAATTTAGCTGCAAATTTTTCCTTGCCCTTCCTGTTGCCTATTTCAACAGTGGTGATGTCACTTTTATTAGCTATTTTTGATGAAATCCCACCATTTCAGCGAACTCTCTCGACCACGAAAGTGTCGTCCATTGTATAGTTTGGTTGGTGCTCGTTGTTCTTTTCGACAATTGCTCTGTGTCGAATTTGTATATCGATCTTCCTCTTGGAAAACCAGGTGTCCAAGACAATTGGACTAATCTACGAGTTTTTGATGTATGTATAATATTCATGAAGGACACAGAGAGACTAAGTTTCGTGAATTTTGTGTTGTTCCTTGTGCTACTAACCAAACAATGGAACAATCTAAGCTCATAAATTCATAATTAACTGTTTTAAAATGAGCTCAAAATGCCATAATCTAAATCAATATGAATGGATATACAAAATGTTCCAAGGTAAGTGATATTAATTTGTACTAATAATATTCATCAGGCCCCATCATTGTGTGCATTTAGCCATGGCATGACTTTACTTTTGATTTGCTTTTGGAGGAAAGCTACTTTAATTTTTATTTGGAAACTAATTTTCAAAAGAACTTCCTATTCTAGAAATGCATTTAGAGGAAACTATATTGAATCAACTTCTTTTAAAAACTCTTTTAACTACTAGAAGTACTTTAAAGATTGAAGTGAATGAGTTGAAAATGCTATTGTACTGCATCCTCGTGTGAAGAACAGAAAGAAGGCCAGTATTTTGTTGGTGAAATATTAACCTTTATGACCTGTTTGGACAATACTATTGTACTGGACAAGATTGGTCAATAGAATAGACAAGAAAATAAATTTTTAACTTATTTTTGTATTTACTATTGTCTAACTATTGCGTAGTCCACCTAACCAAACACACAATTGGTGTCTAGGAGTTAGGTCTTAACAAAATATCGAATGAAAAATGGGAATAAATTGCAATGTTAAATTGGAGGTACATAGGTTTGCTGTCAATTCAGTGCGGATGTTACTCTCTCTTCTGGGGTTCTCATTTGATAAGATGGATAACAAATTTCATTTGACATTTATTCCCACGAGGACCGTGTTATTAAGTACCAAAATTAACAATCATAACGTTATTTTAACAACCAATTTGAAAATAGAGAATTTTTCTAGTTAAATTAATGACTGAAGTATGCTAAATTAAATAATCTACGTTGTGCGTTGGACATTTTGATTTTTAACTTTAATTCGATGAATAAAAGTGTTAGAGCTTTCGATTTCACTTTATTTATCCCTTAAATTTCGCTTCTCAATTTCAATTCCAAAGTTTGTATTCATTGAATTTACTAATTTATTCCTTGTTTGATCCCCATTTGAAAAAAATGCATTCCTAAACAGTGTTTTGGCATCATTTCAACCACACATTTTTCAATAAAATAATATTACACTCAAATAAAAAAAAAAAATCCTTATTTTTTACTCATACATTGTCCATCAATACACTAGTCAAAAATTCATTCTTATCAAACGAATATGGATCAAACAAGGACTTAATAAATTTACCTTTTTCGAGTTTAAATCAATAAAATCTAGCTAATTAACTCACTATATCTCCATGTGAATCTGAATAAGCCTTACTTATACACATTAAATCACCTAGGAATTCAATTAAAGACTGCAGCACTAGTAAAAGTGTAATTCTATCTTATACCAAATTGTTGGATTTTACTACGTGGTCTAAATTAATAACTCACATCTCCGTATGTTAAATCCATAAATTAGAAGTATTGGCCAAATATTCGCATGCACTAGTAGAAATGCAAGTGCAGTACTTTAATAAATGAAAAACGCAAAACTTGAGACTTGAAATTAAAGGTTAAAAATTATGTTGCACTGTTTTTCCCTACAAAAAGTTTAGCTACTCACCACAGAAGAAGAAAACAGATTAAAGAAGTAAATAAATTATCTGGTTTTAAAGGAAATAAGACAGTGATGAATAGATTTGCACCCAAGAATTTGCCTTCTTGAAGAAATCTCTAAATCATTTCTCAATTCTATGTCTTTCTCCTTCAAACGTGCTCTATGATAATACGATGTGGTATGAAAAATTCCATTTTCTTGACCTAATTTTGTCCTTTATATCGCCCTTAATTGCCTAAAAATTCTTGCCAAGAAGAATACTGAAAGTGCACCTATTTACTAGTCCAAAAAATAAAATAAAATTCCTGAATTGGGGTTTTGAGGGTGGTTTAGGCAAGGGAAAGAGGCCTTAGTGGCCAACCGTTTAGCTTTGGCTGCCATACTTCAAACGGGCATAATGTTTTATCTACAACTACAAATTTGTTATCCATTTTTGTTGAATTCCAAATTTGATTATTTTCGAATGGTATATAGTTTGTCTTGTGGAGATCTGTTTACCAAAAATTGTGCACTAATCTCTTTGCATGCTCTGCATGTAGGTTCCTTGTTCTGCATCTTGTGGACCTTTTATGCTCCGAATAACTTTCTTTTGCACCAGTCATCTTCAAATTTGAGTTTCAATTATAAACACAATATTTACACTAATATGAGTGGAAATCTGTGCAAACATTCAATATTAAGCATATTCAAGAGCCTAGATAGGCGTGAAAAATATACTCATCAATGCTTTTTTTATGAATTGTGGTTTAATAGTTTGAGGCTAACAGATATGCACCCTGTGTTCGTGATTCTCTAGATTAAGTCTGTTCAAGAACTGAGTGGACAAATATGCCACATTTGTGGGGATGAAGTGGAGATAACTGTAGACGGGGAGCCCTTTGTTGCGTGCAACGAATGTGCTTTCCCAGTTTGCAGGACTTGCTATGAGTATGAGAGACGAGAGGGAAATCAGGCTTGTCCTCAGTGCAAAACCCGATACAAACGTATCAAAGGCAAGTCTTTTTATATCATGTTTCATTCTAATTGTTGGTGTAAGCTAACCGCACGAGGTGAACAAACAGCTGATAGATGTATGTGAACTGCAGGTAGTCCTAGAGTGGAGGGCGATGATGAAGAGGACGACATTGATGATTTGGAACATGAGTTTGATTATGAGGATATTGAGGCTTTGGGCCACACACAGAGTACAGGGGTGATTCCTGCTGTACGTGGTTGTCATATTGATTCATCTGAATCAGCTGCAGGCTCAAGACATGATTCATCTTCCAAGGGTCTTGAAATCCCTCTGTTAACATATGGTGAAGAGGTAATCAAGGGGTTCTCTCTCCCCTTCCACTTTAGATAAACTCATTATGCAACTTGGCATTTAAGTTCTTTGTCTTCTAATTACTCTCAGGACAATCAGATTTCTTCTGATCAACATGCTATCATAGTACCACCGTTTGCCAGTCATGGCGATGAGATTCATCCATCTTCTTCTGGGACTTCAGCTCCTTGTAAGTCATTTTGCTCCTTTTAGCTTTCCTCACCCTAGAATAATTTTAAGTTTGCATGCAAGGGAGATGAAAAGTATACTTTTGATGTCCTAGTACAATCAAGGCCTTTGGTTCCCGACAAGGACATTGCTCTATATGGGTATGGAAGTGTTGCATGGAAGGATCGAATGGAGGAGTGGAAAAAGAGGCAAAGTGATAAACTTCAGGTGGTCAAGCATCAAGGAGATAATGCTGGTGACAACCTGGATGGGAATGAATTGGACTCAGACTTGCCTATGTAAGTGATTCGTGCATTCTCTGTGCAAGTGCTTTATTTTTGTTTACAATTTGAGGCATGATGTGCTTTGTTGCTCTCATTTCTGTTGTGTTTTCATATGATTAATGAAATCCCACTCTAAAATTCTTAATTTCGAGACTGGAAATCAAGATCTGCAAGATGGATTATTTTGTTGCATTATCGTTTATGGTATCTTGAAACAAATTGTATGCCATTCTTGATTTTGCTATCTTTAGTTTTTTACCACTTAGAATTCATTTATTCACTTGAAATCTCTTAACAGGATGGATGAAGGTAGACAGCCTCTGTCGAGGAAATTGCCCATTGCTTCGAGCAAGATAAGCCCATACAGATTGATAATTATCCTCCGCCTAGTGGTTCTTGGCTTCTTTTTCCACTATAGGGTTCTCCATCCAGTTCATGACGCATTTGGCTTGTGGCTGACATCAGTTATTTGTGAAATATGGTTTGCTGTTTCGTGGATACTTGATCAGTTTCCAAAATGGTTTCCAATTGAGCGAGAAACATACCTTGATCGCCTGTCGCTTAGGTATATAAACATTATAAACTCAAAACTCAATTTTTCTAATTTCTCGAAGTTGAGAATGGTGATAAGCATTATAAACTCAAAACTCAATTTTTCTAATTTCTCAAAGTTGAGAATGGTGATGAGCATGTTTGGCTAAGCTTAGAAGCAAGTCAAGCGAACTTGTAGTAGATTTTTGTTTTGGACTATGTTTTGATTAGTTTCTTCTTTCTTACTTGAGTAAAAATTAACTGTAACATAAGGCACTAATTTCAGAACTGGTAACTTGCTTATTTCTAATTTTAACTGAAGTCTAAATGTAACTGTTTACTTATAAATGTTTTAAGCCTAGCAAAACATGTTCTATATGAACTCAAACCAGCAGAACTAGGAGCTAAGCTTAAATAGTTTACTTAATATAAGTAAATAGTCATAAACTAATTTTTATTGGTAAAGAAAATAAGTTGCCTCTCCTTGAAGGAAGGTAAGAGTTTTTTTCAAATTAATAAATAATAACCTTTTCTACTTAAAAAGTATAGAAAAATTAATTTACCTAAACATTTTTTTGAACAAAAAATTACTTAGAAGTAACTTCGAATCGTTCTTAAGCTTAGTCAAACACCTTCAAGGATGTGAAAGATGATTAATTTGTCTTGATTCTTTGATGACAACATTGCTTTTCCATTTTAGGTATGAGAAAGAAGGAAGGCCATCTGAGTTAGCTGACATAGACATCTTTGTCAGCACAGTTGATCCCATGAAAGAACCTCCATTGATTACTGCAAACACGGTTCTTTCCATCCTTGCAGTGGATTATCCGGTTGAAAAAGTTGCATGCTATGTGTCGGATGATGGTGCAGCCATGCTTTCTTTTGAAGCACTTTCGGAGACATCTGAATTTGCTCGGAAATGGGTTCCCTTCTGCAAGAAGTTCAATATCGAACCAAGGGCGCCAGAATGGTATTTTTCTGAGAAGATGGACTATCTGAAAAACAAAGTCCATCCAGCATTTGTGAGGGAAAGGCGTGCAATGAAGGTCTGCCACTTGTATATTTTTCCTGTTTTCTTGAATAAAATACACACGCACACAATGAAAGAAAAATACATACATTATATATAGCTTTCTGTGAGTGTGAGAGAAAGATTATGAGCACATTTGGCTAAGCTCAAGTTACAAAGATTATGAGCACATTTGGCTAAGCGTAAGTTACTTTGAGTAAATAAGTAAGTTTTAAAATAAATAACTATTTAGTGGTCAAAGTTGGAAATAAGCAGTTTATTCTGTCAGTAAGATTAGAATTTCTTTCAAATTAAGGAATGTTGTTTCGCTTGAATGTACGAAGAAGTAAGTTACCAAACATGTTTAGAAACAAAAAGTTACATTTCGCAAACTGCCAAATCTGTTTTATATGAACTTATACTCCCTAATCAACTTCAACCCAACTTTTCATGGTGTCATTTGTTTGCTCCAACACAGAGAGAATATGAAGAGTTCAAAGTTAGGATCAATCGTTTGGTGGCAACGGCACAAAAGGTTCCTGAGGAAGGTTGGACGATGCAGGATGGAACACCTTGGCCGGGAAACAATGTTCGTGACCATCCTGGAATGATCCAGGTGAGAAATGCCATTTTCATGAATAATGGCCTCTGCCATTTTTGGACTCATATTTTTCCAATATCCAATTTTAGTGCATGTATAAAGACTATCCATATCAGGAGTTAAGTAGGATTTTTTTGAATGTTTTAATATTCTGACTCTAGACAATTCCAGAGTCATGTATCCTACAAGTGCATGCTTGATCACATTATTGGATAGGTTTGGACTAGATTAAGCTTATTTTTCTTCATTAATTCTGTCTAGTACTATCCTATCTTCCCCATCTACTGTGCCTCAAGAGAGAGAAAAATAAATATATACAATATATTAAAATAACAAAGTTGTTCATAATACTGTCTATGATGTTAGGCTTGAAAACGAACGAGAATATTATTGTAGAGTAAAAAAATTTCAAAGGACTCGATAAATGTAGGGTCTAGTTAAGGATTTGGATCAATATTTTTCTTTTAGATCATAGGATTGTAGGTTTGTAAAGTTCACACCGGAGTTTGACTACCACGATATGTATTACAAAAATCCAATAACTTGGCTATTTCTGTTTTCTTTCTTTTTTTTCATCTTAAATATTTTTCCATGATGGGGGGAAAGAAGAATGTATGATTTCATGAGTTAGTGAATACAGTGACTTGTTATGTCCAATAGCAAGTATGCACGACAGCTGTGGTATAGATAATTTTGGTTTCATTTTTAATTTGTTTATTTTATGGTTGTAAATGTTTAAATTTTTGTACATGGTGCAGTTATTCCTTGGTCATGATGGTGTTCATGATGTTGAAGGAAATGAATTGCCTTGTCTGGTTTATGTTTCCCGTGAAAAAAGACCTGGTTTTGATCACCACAAAAAGGCTGGAGCCATGAATGCACTGGTAAAACACACACACACACACACACACGTTAAATACATTGGTACATCCAAGAAAAAAAAATCAATTAAATCCTAGGTTTCTTTGCTTTGAACTTATAGGTGCGGGTTTCAGCCGTTCTATCAAATGCTCCTTTCCTTCTGAATGTTGACTGTGATCATTACATAAACAACAGCAAGGCACTGAGGGAAGCTATGTGTTTTATGATGGATCCCACTTCAGGAAAGAAAGTTTGCTACGTGCAATTTCCTCAAAGATTCGACGGGATTGATCGTCATGATAGATACTCAAATCGAAATGTTGTGTTCTTTGATGTATGTATATTTCTCTTGTTGCATTGGCTAGATTTGCTTTTCTAACTGTCATGCAGAAGCTTACTTTAGTTATTTTTAACAGATCAATATGAAGGGTTTGGATGGTTTACAAGGACCAATCTATGTTGGAACAGGGTGCATCTTCAGACGGCAAGCTCTTTATGGATATGATGCTCCTGTCAAGAAGAAGCCACCTAGCAAGACCTGTAACTGCTGGCCAAAGTGGTGCTGTTCGTGTTGTGGGTCTAGAAAGAACAAGAAAGGAAAAATGAAGAAAGATAAGAAGAAAAAATTAAAGCACAGAGAAGCGTCAAAGCAGATATATGCACTTGAAACCATTGAAGAAGGAATTGAAGGTAAAAATTTAATTTTAGTAAAACTAAATAAATAAGTAATAATAAATGAAAAGAAAACAATGGCCTGTTAGATCGACAGAACTAAAGTTTATAACCTTTCCCTTACAGTGAAGAACTCTGAAAACCCATCTCGCGTCTCCCAAGAAAAACTCGAGAAGAGGTTCGGCCAATCACCTGCATTCGTGGCATCAACTCTACAAGAAAATGTTCCCAAGGATGCTTGCTCCACAACTTTTCTGAAAGAGGCCATTCATGTCATCAGCTGTGGTTATGAAGATAAGAGTGAATGGGGAAAGGAGGTAAGTTGTTTGGCACATGTTTGGTACACAACGCTGAAGATGTAGAGAATTGGATATTATTATAGACAGGATTTTATCTTATTTTTCTTCCTTATTATTGTCCAAAGCTATCCAATTTTCTGAATCTTACCAAGCAAGCCACGATTGTTTAAATTCTCAGTACCATAATATATCTGTTACCTTGTGACCTGAATATCAAATGCTGGATCAGGTTGGATGGATATATGGCTCTGTTACGGAAGATATCTTGACGGGATTCAAGATGCATTGTCATGGCTGGCGGTCAGTGTACTGCATCCCTAAAAGGCCAGCATTCAAGGGTTCGGCTCCCATCAACCTCTCGGATCGTCTTCACCAGGTTCTTAGATGGGCTCTTGGATCAGTAGAGATATTTTTTAGCAAACACTGTCCCATCTGGTATGGATATGGAGGTGGATTGAAGTCATTGGAAAGGTTTTCCTATATAAATTCAGTTGTATATCCCTGGACTTCTATTCCTTTGATTGTATACTGCACATTGCCAGCCATCTGCCTTCTTACAGGGAAATTTATTGTCCCCGAGGTACGCATTTCATACTTGTACTATTATAGGAAATACTTTGCAGATACTCACATTGAGCTTAGCCACGTTTTGTAAAATTATATATTTACTTACATGATTAACTAACATATAATCCAATATGCAGATTAGTAATTATGCCAGTATTATATTCATTGCCCTATTCATCTCCATTGCTGCAACTGGCATCCTTGAGATGCAATGGGGTGGCGTTGGAATCGACGACTGGTGGAGAAACGAGCAGTTTTGGGTTATTGGAGGAGTTTCCTCTCACTTTTTTGCTCTCGTCCAAGGATTACTCAAGGTTTTGGCTGGTGTCAACACAAATTTCACCGTCACCTCAAAAGGAGGAGACGATGGAGAATTTTCCGAGCTCTATATCTTCAAATGGACATCGTTGTTAGTTCTGCCTACAACATTATTGATCATAAATATAGTCGGGGTTGTGGTGGGAGTTGCAGATGCCATCAATAACGGTTATGATTCTTGGGGTCCATTGTTCGGTAAACTTTTGTTTGCCTTGTGGGTTATTCTTCACCTCTATCCTTTCCTCAAGGGACTGATCGGGAAACAAGAGAAAATTCCGACAGTAATTATAATCTGGTCGATTCTGCTGGCTTCTATATTGACCTTGTTGTGGGTACGAATCAACCCGTTTGTTTCACGAGATGGACCAGTACTGGAAATCTGTGGACTTAACTGTGACGACTGAGATGCGGTTGGGCAGCTTACGGACAGTTTTGCACGACCGGATATGCAGAAGGTTAATGACTAGTAGTATAGTTGAGATATGTATAGATTTAAAGAGGTGGAAACTTAAATCATTCATAATCTTTGAAATGGCTTGATCGATTCTTTGATAAATATCCATGTGGTGTCTTGTATTATTATTCCCCATTAAAAGGGGTTTTCATTGCAATTGGCAAAAAATACATTGTCTGTTCTGTATTTTTCTTGTTTTCCTCGTGAATGTGGATATGATTTATGAGTTTTCAAGAACTGAACTTTGATAGTTATGCTACAAAGTCCAACAGCCAAGGCTATACACCAACTATGAGATTGTAGATCTTAGTTAATAGGGGTGTTAAATGGGTCAAGTTGAACTGTCTTGTTTAATTGAAGTGCGACTTGGTTTGCCCCACGAGCTCGCCTCTTGGTGTGATGAGCCGTTTGTGACTTGTCAATAGTTTTTTTTTATCTGAAAATTCACTCTTTACTTGTCACGATGAACCAAGTCGTGAGGGCGTGAGGCAGCCAACAAATGCAAATTGTCGAGTGGCTTGCATGAGAAATTTCTTGCTTGGCTCGTTGGTGGGGGTGATCATCACACTTGTATATGTTAGAGCCGGGTTTTTCTCTCTAATGTCTCTCATTTATTACTTATGAGTTTTTCCTTTGTTGAGTGTGTCATCTAGTGCACTTTGCTTCGAAAAAATGAATAAAGTCGTCTGGTTACACATTGGTACTTAATGGACCATGTAGGATATTAACTTGATATTTTTAAATGAGTGATTATCATGTAAGCGATCGTCAAAATATTGAGTGATTATTATCATAAGAAAATAAATTTATTATTCAAAAGTTTAGCAACTATTAACCCGTTTGTTATATATATATATATATATATATATATATACACACACACACACACACCGTGGACCTAAGAGCTGAATCCCTTGAATTCTCTCAAACTCGTGATCGTAGTTCCCAATTTTCTTACTATGCCAAGAGTTATCCACTCAATGGGAATCGATTGCTCGAAGAAGCGCTTTTCACACACACACACACTATTTAGGGCTCGAATTGAATGCCCACGAAATTTCTCATAAGAAATCCTTCCCTTCATTCATTACTCTATGTATTGATTGGGTTTACATTTGCACATTGAGCCTTTATTTTATTCATGAAAATCGAATCAAGTTAAATTGTGTTGGGTTATTCTTGGATGACAGGGCCCTATGTGGCGCCCCCTACTAGGGGCGACACATAGGGCCTTGGACGTCCAGGGCCCTATCACATGGGTTTTTCCCAATTGTGTTTATTCTAAATGTTTGACATCGTCTCTTTTTACAAATTTGTACCTCGCGGACAAGGTCAAGTTTTGTTCTACAATTTTATTATTATTATTTTGAAAAAAATATACCACTCTTGATGGCACATTTTATCAGTATCGAGATAAACAATACAATTTAAGAGGAGTGCTCGATCTAAAGTCCAACTAATCAAAAACAAGGGGCACATATTCCCCATGTTCTAAGGTGGGGATCACATGTGAAAGTGAAAGAGGGTTTTACACTTTATACGATGGGGACAAAGCCGAGTTTAGAATCGTTGGCTCACTGTGGCTTTCATTTTCACAGTTTGATGGTGAACTTTTTATGACCAACTAAAATTAAATAGCCAAAGGCATCATTAGCATAATTGCTTACTTTTGAATAGAATAAGCTTAAGGCCTAAAATTGTGGCTCACATCAAAATCCGACGAATCTTCACTTGGAGTAGAGCATAAACCTAATACGATGAAAGAGACTGATTCAAGAACAAAAAAATACCTTCAAATTTGGATTGAATCTCGATGAAACAATACATCGAATAAGTTAATTCGACAAGTTTAGTGACATTTTTTCTATTATAAGGAAGAAAGAAGTTAAAGTTCGTCGATCTTATTAATAAATCTTCTGTATATAATGTTTTGTCTACTCGGCCTGTACAGGATAGGCATGCAATGGGCTAATTTTTATATTAACCATTCATATCTTCTTACATTTTGTCTCTCGTTTTCACCTTGTCTTCTCCCTTAATCTCAATAAACTCCCCACAACATATCCTCTGTGGTGTATCTTCATTGGCTATTAATTTTAATTCGACATTTCTTATAAAATTCCATGTTTTTATACTGTGATCTTATATTTAACTCGGTCGATATTTTAGGGATGCTAAGCGCATCTCCAATACAAAGAATAAATAAAAATATGTAAAAATCTCAAACATATTAAAGTGCATGTTTAAATTTAAAGAAAGTAAATTTTTAGACTCCAACGATACTCTTCTTCATTTTACATTTTTAAGTAAACTTATTTTTTGCCCATCATCTCTATTACATGCTTTTTTTACAACCAAATGGAGTGCATTGAAATTTATTAAATGCATTTAATATAAAATGTGTACAGAGCTAAACTCGTTCTCTATTCTTAATGCTATCTATCTACACTCACAATGATCATGAATTATGAGGTATTCATTAATTGTCATCTTGAGTGTAGGGATATGAGATCTATTTAAGATTGCATATCAATGATTACCACTCAAATGGCTATATTTTAAACATCCACTATATAAAATAAAGTGCATCTTACTTTTGACAAGTCTATTAAAGTTGCTCTAATGATTTTGTTGATGGCTTCGACCTGACCGTTTACTACCGTGAGGTGTTTAGAAGTGTTTTTTGATTCCTAGTTCCTTTCAAGAGTCCCTGACCTTTTTATTGTCAAATTTTCATCTATTATATTATACGATTGAAGGGAGAATGTCGAACCAGTGTATGATGTGTCTTACAAAGGAAAATGAAAGTATTAGCTTCTGTGATTTTAGCCAGAGGTTTGGTCTTTACTCACTTTGTGAAATAATCGGTGCAACAATTGCATAGCTTGTGTTACTCTTCCTTTGGAATGGGACCTATAAACACAATCCCCCCACTTGGCAATGGCCCAAGGTTAGAAACCACTGTAAGCTCTTGGGATGGTTGCCTCTACAAGGTTAAGAAGCACTGGCACCTGTCATACTTTGCACAAATTAAAGTGTGTCCCTTTCCAAAGCAAGCCAATAGTATCATTTCTTAAGTACCTTTTGTACGAGTGTAGGTCCTCCAATGTGGTTTCCACATACACCTTCATGAATTTCTCGGATGATGTCAATTTGCATCTTCTCCTTTTGTGCATAGCACCTCATCTTGAAGAATAATGAATGAAATCCTTCGTTTAAGCTTGTGGGCTTCATCCATGTTCTCAGTAAGGCCTAATCCTTGAGAAATGTAATAATTGGTTGTATCGATGATGAAGTGCTTTCAATCCACATCATTTCTCCCTTATGAGATAGAGGGCCTGGAGAGGTACTCAATGGACATTTTATTGAGCGACCCGAAATCCTTACTACTAGCCAAATTTGATAGGGCTCCAACAGGACATTTTCAAAGGTTCGAAATTTGCACCAGTTCAAACTTTTGAAAGGTAGGAAGAGATCCATAATCTGTTTGAGATATGTTGCCATGCCTTTATCTCTTGCGATGAAGTTGTCATTGTCGTAGCTCACTACTAATTGAGAACTGCTACTTATAAGTAACATCTTCAATTGTATCCCCTTATCCAATTTGAGGCTAGCTAGGCGGGCCTCATACTCAGCAATATTGTTAGAGGCATTGCATCAAAACCTATCGTACGATTAAACTTGTGACCTTCTGATCTTACTAAGGCTATACTTGTCCAAAAGCTTGTCTCTCCGAAGGAGCCATCTATGATGAAGCTCCAAGTAGAGGGCAACGGGGTCCATTGTCTTCTCTATTTCAAGGACATTGGTGAACTCCGCTATTAAGTCTGCTAGGATTTGACCTGTAATGGAAGTCGTTGGCTTGAAGACAATGTTGAACTCACTTGGGTACTCACTTCATCAACTTCCTAGAAGCTTCAAGCTTTTGAAGCACTTACTTGAGTGAAAAAATTTTCAGCACATATATATTATGGGCCTAGAAGTATGACATAAACTTTATTAAAGCGATAACGAGTGAGAAAGTGAGATTCTCCACATCTGGGTAGATGGATTAGCTAGTAAAAGGGCCTTGCTTACATAGTAGATAGGCCATTGGCTAATGCCTTCTTCTCTTATAAGAACTAAATCGATTGCCTCTTCCGATACAGCTAGATATTATAGCTAAGTTCATCAACCTTTGGTTTGGAGAGGATGGTGGACTGCCTTAGGTGCTTCTTTAGCTCCTGAAAAGCCTTTTTACACTTCTTATTCTATTGAAATTTCTTTCTTTCTATGAGTATTTTGAAGAAAAATGATTTATCGGTGGCTTTTGAGACAAAGCAACTCAAAGCTGCCATTCATTAGGTGATGCTCTGAACTTCTTTAGGATATTTAAGGTACCTCATCTCTATCGAAGCCTTGATCTTTTCAGGACTGGCCTCAATACATCTTTGGTTGATCGTGTAGCCTTTCAGAGGCAACAACAGAAATGCAATAAATCATCCTATACCTCCCTAGAATTTGGAAAGCAGCATCCAGGTGTTTGACATGGTCTTTTAAAGCATGTCATCCACATATTCCTACATGATTTTTACAATGAGGTCAAGAAACATTTTGTTGACAAGCCTTTGTAGGTGGTTATGACTTTTTTCAACCCAAATGATATTACCTTGTAGCAATAAAGACCTCTATAATTGATGAAAATTTTGTTCTTTCTTCTACGAGATGTATGAGAATTTGATTATAGCCTGAATAAGCGTCCATGAAGCTCAACAACTCGTGCCCCACGATGGAATCCATGAGTTGGTATATCCTAGGAAAGGAGAAACAATATTTTGGGCAAGCTTCGTTAAAGTTGGAAAATTTTTTACAGACCCTCCAATTGTCATTGTTCTTACATATGATGACTAGATTGGAGATTCACTTCAGATGTATGGCCCCTCTAATGAATCCATTGGTTATCAATTTTCC